GTAAGGTTAAGTCTGCATCAGTCCAAGTGATTTAAACCAACACAGTGTATCCAGGTCTTTGTTGCATTAAGTGATGGGGCAGATGGGATGCTAGTCTGTCACAGGGTTAGCACCCAGTATTAAATTCACCCAGTATCCATTTTTACATCAACAATTGTAGGTACTCAGACATTGTAGTACAAGGGACCTAAGGAATTGTGTAGTTCCAGAAAATATCCATGCCTCTGCCAAAGAGGGGATTTTGTCTTAGACTGCCCACCCCTCTGGAAATTCCAATTAATTAATTCGTATATTTCTTTAAATTTTTTGGTCTTACAGAACCCCGCTCCCCCAGCCACCAGGAAATTCCAATCCCTTCTGTGGGGAAGTATCGATATTTTCTGGAACTGCAAATTTCTAATACACTCTACCCCTGAAGGGCTACTCGAGGTATATGGCCACATAATGGCTGGCTGAATGGTTGAATGGTAGTGAAACAATAACATCTCTATTTGTTTTCATTTTCAAAATTATTCTTAGTACATGACACCAAACACTAATAAAACTGTTCGTAACTGACCTACTATGGGATCCAATGTCTCAATTTGATTCTCTCGAGTCTCAGCACATAGCTCTTTTCCTTGCTTCTTTGTTTTGTATCTAGTAAGAAACTGCAAATGTTTTAACCTTAGTTTAGGGAATTCCTTGATCTCTTAAGTTTTACAAAGAAGTCATTTTTTTAAATTTTCAACCCTACAAGGAGAAGTTTGACAATGAAGGTGAGGTAAAGTCTATATCAGACCAAGTAATCCAAACTACCATATTTTATCACAGTTTCTGTAGCATCAATTGATATAGTATCTTTCTATTCCCCTCCCTGCTTAAATGGGGTGCCTGCCTATTGCAGGGTTAGCCCCAGTATGAAATTCACCAAGTACCCATTTGTATACCAGGATGGGGGGAGGCACTGTGAGAGTAACATGTCATGTCCAAGAACACAGTCCAGTACTAACAATAGCTAGGGATCCATATTTGCAGTCACCTGGCCATCCTTGACAACTACAAAATTTTAGGGACAACCAAAACAATAGGAAAATGCATCTGCTAAATGAGTTAAGTTTGACTCTACCGGAATAAAGGCAGTTCTTAAATTTGCTTATGAGTGCACTGCATTCTGACCACTTGTCATCCATTTGGAACTTTTAAAAAACAGCTCTAGAAAAACCTACAGCTTGCTTTTGCAATAAAATCATCAATTTGGTCTGCTACATTGTATCTTGGATGATGTGGTATTCTCCACAAATGAAATTATTGCAGGTTCAATTTTCATTTTGTCAACTACTGATGCTCCGCACTGCATCTGCATCTGCATCTGCATCTGCGAAAACACAAGGTGTGATCGCATCAGCTGTCTTGATCAGGACATGGCATTTAGTAATGTTAACACTTTGGAAAAACAAGTCAAATACAGGCAGGAAGAGTGAAAGTGGTCCTCTCAGTCTTCATGGCGGTCAAAGAGGCCTTGGTTTTCATTCGAACTTGGATTGTCTGTGTCCACCGACAGCCACAACTACAGACATGATGTACTGGAAAACTGGTCATGTGAAAAACATACAAATTTAACATCAACTTTTCCTTTACATGCTATTCTGATACCATTCTTCCCTATTGAAGGGGCAAATAAAATTTTACCATGGCAAATATGTCATCTGACATACTTGCCTGGCTGAGAAAAAACCAATATGGATCCCTGAATGGCTGAACATCTCTATTGTTTGAATTCTCTGCCTGCATTGTGTGCTATTATTCCTTGTACAGGTAACATTGAGTAACTCACAGATGACCCCTCCAACCAAATGCTCACCTGATATGGAATCTACTGCCTTAATATGAGTCTTTCTCCACATGATTCTCAGCACACAGCTTTCTGGTTTGTATCTAGTAAGAAATGGGAACTGTTTTAATAACCTTGATATAACAGCCTTGAACTCTTAAGTTTTACACACTAGACGATTAAAAATAAGTCATCAGATTTTTAAAGTTTTAACCCTACTAGGATGAGTTTGGACTATGAAAGTAAGGTTAAGTCTGCATCAGGCGGCCACATGATCTAAACCACCACAACTTAACCCAGTCTCTGTTGCATTAAGGGATATTGAGTGTTCTACTCTTCCCCTTGAATGAGATTCTCTGTTTCTCAGCACTACACAATTTAAAAAATTAGTCAGAGTTTCAACCCTGCAGGGGCAAGGTTTGACAATGATGAGATGGGATAAAATGCAAGTCTGTAGCAGGGTCAGCACCCAGGTACTAACCCCAGTACCTGTTTGTACAAATAGATGGAAAGACACTGTGTTTCAGCCAGAAAATTTTACTTGAGGGCCACAGTGGCCCCCGAAGACCTTTTTAGGGGCTACTCTTTTAGGGAAGGGGTCAATAAATAATAAATGCAATTTTTTGGTCGCCAGATACTAGTATGATGGATCCATGCATTACAAGAGAACAATCCATAGGCATACATGACTTAGTCAATGATCAGTCAATGATCAAGGGTTTGCAATGCGTTAAAGGGCGACTTCAAACATGGTCAGCCATTTGGAAGTTTTCCAATGTGAGAGAATCATTACAGGAAAGCAAAAGGATGGATAATTGACTTCTTGTCTTATGTTGAATGTTTTAGAAGCAAAGATTTTCAATATGATTTTCTAGAAGGACATAATGTGTGACAAAATAACCATTATTGATCGTCAAGAGAATGAAATGTCAGTCTCGTTGGCAACCGTATTGGCCACAATTTCAAGCCCTGGGATGGCTTTTAAAATTGTATGCCTGTGTTAAGCCTACAGCCTTGTAAAAGGGAAGGGCCAAATTGGCCCATTTTTGTTTTTCTAGAGGCCATATCTGATTGCAACGTGGGATTCCCACAATGGCGGGGTCTGGCAAAAACACTGAAGAGGTAGTGTGAGAGCAGAGTGTTTTGCCAAGAACAAAACACAGAGACCCTAACCAGTGGCTCAAACCCAGACTTGTTGATCTGCAGTCCACTGTGCTCAACATTAGATTACTGTGTCCCTCCTGCCATAAAAGAATACTCATCCAAAATAATGCCACCCAAGGAATTTTTGTAAACCCTAACCTTGAAGGGCTAAGGTGTAGTATTGCCACATAACTTGCCATTTCTTGAAATAACTGAACAGTGAAAGTCAAACATAAACTTGTTTAAAATTTCCCACCTGCATTGTGCACTGTCATGCCTAGAACATGAAACCAAACACAAAGAAATTGACTCACTTATTATAGAATCCAGTGTTTCAACATGATTCTTTCTCCTCTCAAGTCTCAGCACATACTTTCATTGTTGCTTCTCTGTTTTGTATCTAGTAAGAAACAGGAAATGTTTTAACCTTAATGACACCCTTAATCTCTTAAGCAGGAGTTTCATTAACATTTTTAGCACGAGGGCAACTGGTTTTCTCAGGCGGGCAAAACTATTTGAACTGAACTTTTTTGTAAGAAAAACTTTCCTCTAGATGGTCAAACCAGTCAAGCAAAATCATCTCCACAGCCAGTCAATTTGCCTGCTGCCCGGCCCTTAATGGAACCCCTGCTTAAGTTTTACAAACTACACTATTAAAAATAAGTCTTCAGGTTATTTTTTTTTT